AGAATATGAAATATATTCTATAAATATATTCATAAAATGTATTTCTATAATATGTTCAATATATTTTCAGGTCCTCCAATAATTGAAATTRCCAGTTACCATTGCAAGGAATTGCACCAAACTTGCTGGTCCCGGGTGGGAGCTTGGCAAGAGCACTGAGAATATCTGGGAGCCCCTCTGGGACACCCCATAATTACAGCCAAGGAGTYTTTCCTTCTGTAAAACCCAGACTTTGTGCCTGGCATGGCACAGCTCTGGAGAGGGGACACAGAAGGGACAAATCAGCCCATTGGGGACTGTCCCAGGGGCTCAAATCTTAAATGTCAAAACTGTAAAAATGGCATTTAATGGCGTGTTTTCCAAAGCAGTCTGAAATGCCATCATTTTACTGCGATGATGTGAACACAACAGAAATGATGAATTGCATCACGTGCTGGGTTTCACCCGGATTTCTTGGAGGGGAGAGAGCCCGAGAAAGGGGAGAGCAGCAGAAGAAGGAGCCAGGTGAGGGAGGGACAGAAATCCTGCAAGGAATGGGATCCTGGGCCACAGATGCTTTTGGTATCAATGTTTTTATAAATGGAGTGGGACAAAGGGGATTTCGGGTGCGATGTGACCGCATGCAGGGCTGATGCACTCACCATGAGCCTGTGAGCCACAGAGCAGTGATTTATCTGAGTGGCTGATGGCTCTCCTTAAAGCAGCTTTCCATAACTGTTCGTGGTTATCAGAAATCCCATTCTTGTCTTGCCTCTGACCCCCATCCACGGCCATCCAGCTTGGGAATTACAGAAGGGAAATTTATGTAAGCTTTGTTTTAATTGCAAACAATTCAAAGAAATCATCCCCTGCTGGGAACTCGGCCTTTTCTGCTGCAGTTAAATGAGATTTTATTACAGCACAGCTCACTCTGTGGCTCGGGGGGGAAGGCTGAGCTGTGCTGGGGGAAAACCACGGCGGTTTTGGTGACTGAGAGACTGGAGAGACGTCGAAAACTCCAAGGGCCACATGGCAGGGAAGGAACTCCACGGCAGCATTTTCTGCTCTGGACCTGAGGCTTTGTGAGCCCACGTACAACATCTTCACAGCCAGAGAGGCTCCTTTCAGCACGGCTGGTTTAAAAAAATCCTTTTTCCCTTGTTCCTGGGTTAAATTCTGTCTTTGCACAGGACCTGCCTGGCCCAGGTTTTCACCACCCGTTCCCTGCCTGGGATCCCCATCCCAACCCGGACCTGGGCAGCCCCAAGGCTTTTAATTCCATTTTATTTCTCTCCATCACTGATGTCAGCAGCTGGTACCTGCCTTGGGAGGGAGCCTTTATCACACTCTGAGGAGGATCAGAACCTGGGAACCACGGCAGCGACAAAACACATTTAGGATTATAGAATTAAAGAGAGATTTGGGTTGGGAGGGACCTCAAACTCACCCAGTGCCACCCCAGCCATGGCAGGGACAYCTYCCACTGTCCCAGGGTGCTCCMAGCCTGGTTCAGCCTGGCCTTGGRCACTGCCAGGGGCAGCCACAGCTTCTCTGGGSAGCCKAAATYAATWATTTGATCCTTTTTGTGCTGTTTTCCTCAGTTGAACCATCCTGGCAGCGTGAGCCCATCTCTGGCTCAGGTCAGGCTGCTCCAGGACACATCCCTGCTTCAGATTCCACTGCAGAACTGTGCTGTAATTCCTCTCCAGGAAAGGGATAAAGGAACGTTACGGTGCAAATGGGGCAGGATAATTCACAGCTACAGCAGGGATTTGCTCCAGCGAGGAGAGCAATTCCTGCATWTGAGGGGAATAATGAGCCCAACGAAAACAAACCCATGTGTTGTTGGACCCAACCCTCACCAGAACCACAGCAAAAACTCCACAAAAGCATTTTGGAGCCATTTAATGAAAAAAGCAGATTTTTATTATATGGTTTCTGTCCATTATTCGGCCTTGCTGTAAATGACTCACATTTACTGCAACTTCTGTACAGATGTGTGGCTTTGTATTACCAGTACAGCAAATTTAAATGAAAAAATAAATGTTCAACAATTCCACACAAGCTTTTACAGTCCAACATTTCACTGAGTAGGTGAAAACTACAGACTTGTTACTACAGAATTATTCAGCATGAATAAAAAACTACAACTTTTATTTTTTAAACAGGAGTCACTGGTTTAATTTTTCTTTTTTTTTTAATGCTGTTTAAAATTGCTGTGATAAAAATAATGATTTTTTTTTTTTTAATAATGCCATACACTGGTATGATATAGGATTTGTCCCCAGTATATATCTTTTTGTTTAATATACAAAATAGAGTAATGACCCATCGCTGCCTCTGCTGTTGGGCAGGGTGTTGGAGGTGGGCTGATCCCACACCCTCACAGCCTTCCCTCGGGCTCGAGGCCTCCGCATGGAGAGGCTCTCRACCTTCACGGAAAATTTGGTTCCTATGAGACGTCGATGGCTCAGCAAGCCCTGGTTGCAGACTGGGATAAGGGTAGAGCGTGACTGGTCTGTGATCATGGCATCCCAGACTGGACTGGGCTGGAAGGGACCCTAAAGCTCCTCTGTTCCCCCCCTGCACGGGCAGGGACACCTTYCACCAGACCAGGCTGCTCCGAGCCCCACCCAAGCAGGCTCCAATAACACAATCTCTATAAATTCTCACTCTATGTCCCTGAAGTCCTCCCTCTCTGAAGTTTGGCCGCGGGACGTTTCCCACAGCCCACGTTCACGCAGGCACTTCCTCCTCTGTCCTACCTTTTCCTGTGGAAATGGCGAGGTCATTTTTCGGCATCGATTGGCACCAGTCCCCAGCCCCCCCTCCCGCTGTCCCCCTAAGGCCATTGCGCCCCCGTCCCGCTGTCCCCCTGTCCCCCTAAGGCCATTGCGAGTCCTGAGCTGCCCCGCCGCCCCCGGGCGGATCCGTGCACTTTGTGATAAGGCACTGAAGAGCCACCGCCACCTTTCCCTGCTTTATCCAGAGTGCAGGGACTGTCCCCCCGCTGCTACACGGACACGACAACAGGACACGGACATTCTGACCGCCCCGCGGATCCACCGCCGACGGCTGCGACTCAACGGCACGTACAGGACGATTCTTCCTCGAACATCACAGTTTCCTTTTGTTTTTCCTTAAATCCAGAGACTAAAAATGAATACACAGGCAAACAGACACAAGGGGCAGAGAGCCTCTCCTCCTATGTGACCGGTTCTCTCCCGGGGGGGATCAGAGAATCCCACARTTTGGGYTGGAATGGATCTTAAAGCTCATCCRTTTCCAGCCCCCGACTCCATYRTCTGTTGGAGTTCACCGCAGTTGCTTTTGCTGGCAAAAAAAGGCAATTTGGGGTCCCTGCACCCCGACCCGCACACGCTGTCCCCAGGCTCCCACCGAGGGCTCTGGGGATGCAARTTTATAAAACATTCTCCAAAGTAAGACACGTTCCCTCCGACCCCAAGAGCCCCCCCGAACCCCACCGGCACCAACTCCTATCTGTATCGCAAATGGGCGTGGGAGGCTTGGGCTGGAAGTTGTAAGTAAAATCCTGACCTTTACCTATTACAAAATGTACATATTCCTTACAGATCAAAGAGAGYGATTATTTTCTTTTATTAAAGATGCTATTTTACTCCAAAGTACTGAATATAGGATCTTTTTTTAATAGGTATAACATTCAAAAAGAGCTTTAAGAAAGGATGAGAATTGAGTTTCCTATTTCGGTTGGAAAGCAAGGTTTGCTCAATGTAGAAATGTGCTGTGAACACCCCACGCTCTGTATTTACATATTGCTGGCACCTGGATGTGGATTATTGCCCAATTTCCAAGCTGTTTTTGCAGTGGGAGGGCGGCTGTGCCTGAGCCCCCTGGTCAGAGCCGGGACGGTTTTTGCAGCGGGGTCTGGTTCAGCCGTGCCTCGGGAGCGGCTCCCGACCATACAGATAGGAGTATCCCACCCCAAAGCCAAGGGGAATTTTTACACAGTGATTCAATAAACACAACCCCACAAACACCCACGGAGCACAGGTTTTCCCCTCTGAACTGAGCACTTCTTTGGAYACCAACACCGACAGCGGCGGTGCTGCCTCCAGCCAAACCACCCGGAACGGTTCCCGCTCAGCGCATTTGTGACCCCTACAAAAAATATAATTACATGTATCATGATAAAGCAATCTGTCATCTAAAAATCATCCTTATTATACACTATACAAGCTATTTTACAATCATTTAATAAATTGCTTTTAAAGCTGCAGTAGCCCTTCCCTTCTTTTCTTGGATCAGCGAATATACCGATTATACATACTTGAAACTATAACTAAATAYAAAAATATATTAGGTTTTGTATTTTCTCAGATGATCTTTCTCATTTCTATTACACAAACAATCTGGCCACTTCGAGTAAAAATCAAATTTTAGAGTGGCTTAGTAAATATTTCAGTTTTGAGATACAGAAAATCGTTAAGGTGCACGTAGAAAAGGCTACTACAGCTTCTAAACGTCGAAAATATCCTTATCAATGGCAACAAGGAGAAATCCACAAGGCCCATGGGAATTTATGGCACGCCAGGAATTCAGTGTGAAGGGCTGCAGCCTTACAAAGACAGAAAGTTTGACGGACAACTCTAAGACCACGAACTCAGTAGCGGAGCTCTCCTGCTCCTCAGGAGAGAGGATGGAGCAGTCAGTGAAGGGTGGAGATGGAAATTGGGTCTYTAACCAGACGAGTTCRGAGCTGGGAGATGCAGYCCCAGCTGCGTGGACAAGTCCCCGGAGAGGAGGGTTCTGAGATCCTACAGGAGAACAAACCCAGCCACGGGAGCACTCAGTGCACTCCTCCGCCCGTGGCGTCTCCAGAAATATTCGTGTGATGACAGCTTTGAGTGTATACAAAACTTGAGTTTCTCCACACAGAAGTAAACTTTTCTGAAGCTATGCATATTCCTGMAAATTTCCTGATGGGCAGTCAGGACTGATCTTCTTGGCATCAATGCAGCCCGTGACTCTTTGCGTTATGGCTGTTGCATCATATGCAAAAATCAGGCTTCTTTTTTGTTTTTTTCAATATATAAAATAACCTGMTCATTTACATCCAGTTAGGACTGGGTTAATTTTCTGTGAATCTGCATATCCAACACTTTTGCAATATACCAAAAAGGATTTGTTTCATCTGGATCTACTGAAATGAGATTGGAGAAGKTTCTCCCACCCACCCTGGCCCTTACAAAAAGCTCAATTTTTATGGCCRCTTTGCCGGTGGAAAGCGTTAGGTTAGAAAAGCCCAACCCAGTTTCACATGAATCTACTCGAGTATTTACTGTCTAAAGGTCGTTTAGGAAAGCTACGAGCTGCCCCACCTTAAAAAACCAGCTGTACAATAGGCATCTTGAAGTATTACAAAAAAATTATGTAAGAAAAAATGAACAAGCCGAGTTCACGGTATATAAAGTTAAAGGAAATTGCTAAAACCAGACAGTAATAGCTATAAAAGGCACAACTTCCCTTTTCTGATATACACTTGTAAACTTTCTTCAGGTTACATGCATAAACCAAAATACTACCTTAACTTTAAAAAAAAAAAATCCAAAACTCTTTACTAAAATAAAAAAAAAAAGCCTAAAAAATTGTCTCCAGCCAACTGCAGCAATTAATTAATTAATTAGCAGAATGTTCGTAACAGCCTCAGAGCTTGTCACTGGTGGTTTGATGCATCTGGGGATGGTGCACAAGGGGAGAGAGAAAATTTCTGCCTAAACCGATTTCTTTTCCTTTCCTTTCTCCCCAATTCTTTCCCAAACGGTGAGAAAATCCGCTGCTTCTCCAGCCTAACTCTTGGCCCTCTGTAAACCACATGTAGTGCATAATTACAAAAGAAACACCTGCGAGGACAAAAGGAACAAGTTCTGTAGGTTTTCTCTTTACAAAACAAAGCTATCGTGTGACGGTTTCTTAAGGCAACCCTTTGTGTTAAGGCAGTCACTTCTGATGAAACAAGAGCTTCTTGATATTTCCATTGGAATATTTTGGTATCTGATTGCTGATGATTTCTGCCAACATTTCTGGGAACTCAATACTCATGGATTTATCCAAAAAGGTCTGGAAGCAAAAGCTCAGAAGATTTTCCACCACCTACGGGTGACAAGACAAAGAGTTACTCGCACACGAAAATGTTGAGAGAACATTCACCTCCCTCCTCCCCAATTCCTGCCCACAGGACGGGGTTCAGGCATTACAGAAATCCTCCTTGAGTTATGAATTATTGTCCAAGGCACTCTGCTATGGACCAGACTGTGCAAGGCTTTACAAACAGGAGATTCGGTACCAATTCCCATTCCAGCAGGTAAATAACACACACATGGAGAAGCTAAATGAGATCTTTCCAGGTGCTTGGTACAGCAACAAGAAAAAAACAGTCATTCTGAGGTCTCAAAGTCTCCCTTGTCTTAAACACTGCTTAGTRCTACGTGTGCAATTAGAATTAAAGTGCCAAAGGAGACAGTCTGAATTGAGAAATTCCTACAAAATCACATCACTGCTAACACTACACACAGTGTGCTGAGGCATTGTTTTAATGCAATTCCAAACTATTCCACAAATTCTTTACTCGTTGGGCTGTGAGATAACATTGCTTTCAAACATCACATTCCTGCTTCTACTGCAGAATAAGTCACGGTTTCTGAGTTCCTCCTTTTCAAAGGAGGAACATATTTTAAAAAACTGGAAAAAACATAAAAAATGTGTTTTTTAAAAAAAACGTAATTTTTAAGAACTGGAGAGATTGAAAATGAGATTAATTCTACAATTAATTGCTGTGGATTGCACTGCAGAATGGCCTGAGAGGACCATTTTTGCCCTCAGTGACACAGCAGAGGAGCATGACCTCCTCCTCCTCCCCGATATCTGCCTCTTTAAATCAAAAGAGCTGCAGGAGCTCACCGTCCCGCCCCAAATGTATTTCTCTGGAATGCCTACAGCATTCCTGTCAGGACTTACATCATGCATAGAGTCCAGCAGTTTAGTCAGTTGATAAAATCGCTGCCAGTTCTGGCTGGAGTTCCCTTCCCTCTTGACRATGGCCTTGCCCAGCTCCTTGATGTACGTCATGCGGATCTCCTCAAACAGGGACTGGCTCTTCA